CTTTCTCAATTGATCATGGTGTCTGCATCAGCTGCTTGTTACTTGCTAAATCAAACAGAAACTAACAGAAATAGAAAGCACAGTCACAAACGTTAGACGTAAACGCCAAATTTGATATTAGCAGTCTTTCCATGTAAGCGCTGCCGTAGCGCCACGTATGCACATAACAACGCTCACGCAAGGAGCCTTGAACGACACCCAACAAACAGCTTACCCGAACTTTCCGCCGCTCATCATACCCACGATTCTGTTATTAAACCCAAAACGGCTGTCTCATGATCATCGCTCCGAGTCTCCGACCTGATCTCAACCTCTGATAATACTTGACAGTTAACATTTCTCTGATCACCGACCGGAATTCGCAATTCGGAGAGTGTTCTAGTGCGATTCCGATGGGTGATGACGTCGGTAGCGACGATGACTGTAATTATTATTATGACGATGAGGAGGATGGTGATCGGGATTACAGTGATGATGGAGATGAGTATTTGGCAGGGTTTGAAGCGCTCGAGAACGATGTGGTTCTGGATTCCCTGAGCTACCGTCCGTCGACTGAGGTAAGTCGGTATTTTTAGTATTTGGTGATTGAAGTTCCACTTAGAGTGATTTCAGTTTACTGTTTCTCTGCTGAATTCCAATTGGCCGATACATGAATTTTGATAATTTTGATTACTGTTTCTGTAGTTGTTTGGATTAAATGATTTTGGGGTTCTAACTGCAATTGAGTTTCTCGGTTTTTTTAAGTATGTTTCTTAATTCCTTCGGAATTTGCGTTAAAGTTCTTTGCTTTTTGCTGGGGTTTTACCTTTTTCATCAAAAACGTTTCTTTTCTTTCTTTCGTTCTTTCTTCTAGCATTTGATGTGGAAAAGTAAAATTGTTTCATGTTTTGCAGGTTATCACAAGGGAGTCACTCTTGGCTGCACAGGTAAAGAACAGTAGTCTAACTCTAAGTCCAAGATGTGCTTTTTGCTCCCCATTTTTTTTTTTTAATATGTGTCTTATTTGTGCTGGGCTGGGTTAAATAGGAGGAGGATTTGCATAAAGTGATGGAGTTGCTAGCCCTCAAGGAACACCATGCGCGGACATTGCTTATTTATTGTCGTTGGGATATTGATAAGGTGCTTGCAGTGCTTGTAGAGAGTGGAGAAGATAAGTTATATGCTGCAGCAGGGATAAAAGTGGTAGAGCATGAGGATCATTTTTCATCCCAGTTATCATCCATTGTTACATTTACATGTAACATATGCTTTGAGGTTCTGTCAGCTGACATGGTAGCTATCATGGACTGTGGTCACTACTTTTGCAATGACTGTAAGTAAGCTCCTATAAATTATCTTTTTTCCTTCCAGAATTAATGATTCTTTGATTGAGAGTTTCCTGAATTTCGTCTTATTTTTGCATAATTTGCTGCTTTTTCTCCTTGTGCAATTGTTTTTAGGTTGGACTGAGCATTTTATTGTGAAGATTAATGAGGGCCAGAGTAGACAAATTAGGTGCATGGCACACAAGTGTAATGCTATCTGCGATGAAGCAAAAATCAGACAATTAGTAAGCACCAGGGATCCTATTCTTTCTGAGAAATTTGATAGATTTCTTTTAGAATCATATATTGAAGACAATAGAAGAGTTAAATGGTGTCCTAGTGTTCCCCATTGCGGAAATGCAATTCGAGTTGAGGATGTTGAACTTTGTGAAGTTGAATGTCCATGTGGTAAACAATTCTGTTTTAGCTGCACATCTGAAGCACACTCACCCTGCTCTTGTATAATGTGGGAACTCTGGTCCAAGAAATGCCATGATGAGTCGGAGACAGTTAATTGGCTTACTGTCAACACAAAGCCTTGTCCAAAATGCTACAAGCCAGTTGAAAAAAATGGAGGATGCAACCATGTATCGTGTCTGTGCGGACAATCATTTTGGTCAGAGCTCTCATCTCTGTTTCTTTCATCATTTTCATGTTGTTCCTTTACCTTTCCTCCTTTGGCTGGCTGCAAATTCATCCCAATTGTGCAGATAATAGTTTGTGAGTTGTGTTTCTATTCACAACTTCATATGTATTAGCCAGATATAACGGTTAAAAATTTTTGGGAGGAAGTTTGGACTAGCCTCGTGGAAATTGATACCATATATGTGTCTATTTTATTTATATCACTTGATTTCTAATGAAACCTTTACTTCTGTTACTTTGGACTATCTGTTTCTTCTTGTTTATACTAAGTAATTTTAAAAGTTCTTTACACCTTTTTCTATGTTTTTGCAGTTGGCTTTGTGGTGGTGCTACTGGTCAGGATCACACTTACACCTCTATCACTGGTCATAGTTGTGGGCGATACAGGGATGACCATGAGAGGAATGCTGCATTTGCAAAGCAGTACTTAGAATGTTACATCCACTACCACGACCGATATAAAGCTCATAAGGATTCTTTTACACTTGAGTCTAAGCTGAAGGATACCATACAGCAGAAAATAAACATGCTGAAGGGAGAAGTATCAACAATTAAAGATTTCAGTTGGTTGGCAAATGGACTCTATAGACTCTTTAGCTCAAGGAAGGTTCTTTCATATTCTTATGTATTTGCATTCTACATGTTTGGTGATGATCTATTCAAAGATGAAATGAGCAAGCAGGAAAGAAAAATAAAACGAAATTTGTTTGAGGATCAACTGCAGCAGTTTGAGGAACAAGTTGAGAAGCTTTCTTCATTATTAGAAAAGTTTGGAAGTTGTCTTGAGGATGACATAATGAGTTTTAGAATGATGATTATTACTCTTTCTATGGCCATAGATAATCACTGCCGAAATTTGTGAGTTTATCTTTTAAATCTTGAGTTCTCCTATGTTTGGAATGTCATAGAAATGCATTGGTTTAAACTATATTTTAGTAGGACATAAATGTTATGATTTGAATATTTGATCAACATAGTTGCTTAAGATGAATGTAGCAATTTCACTTCCTAGGAATGCATCTAAATCATTAATTCCTTTTACTAGTTATAAAATGGTAACTTTGACATACATGTTGATCTGTGATTGATTCATACATACTTTTTCCATGCTTAGGTATGAATACATTGAGACAGATTTATTGGGTTCCCTCAAGTGGACAGTTCATAGAATAGCTCCTTACAGATCAAAGGGTGTAGAGAAAGCTTTTACATGATTGTGAGATGCCAAAATGAAGCAAAGGTATGAATTTTACAGCTTAAAAGCAAAATGGTATTGGTGGTTAATTGTCAAGCCTACTTGTATATCCTTTATTTTACGTATTTTTCAATGATAATCCCATTTTCTGGTGGTACCGGTGGTTTATACATACGACTAACATGTCTTCCAACAGCTACTAACCTAGAAGGAATGATGGATATTCTCAGCAAATGTTCGGCATCTGGAGTGGAACTGAACAAGGTTGAAACTGATCGATTCAACCATAACACCAGGGAACAACGGAAAATCTGGCAGAAAGGGTTTGTTGATCTTTAAGTTGCCATGGAGAAGCATTAAAAAGATAACTGGTATTTGGAGTCGTGATCTATAGATGCTGCCTTATTTCCAATAAATTATTGGGGGCAGTTGTTTTTTCTTACACTTGCACAGAAAATGTATACCTGCTGTTCAAAGGCAGTGCCTCTGTCACCTAACTGAATTGCAGCCACGAAATGCAGGAACTTCTTGATATTTATTTCAACTCAAGTATTTTTATCATTGATCATAAGATTTCTTTTTCATTTTCTTTTCTATTCCTGAGATTTTCAACCATTTTAGATTACATAGCTTTGCTAAAAAACCTATGATCTAGAATCCAAGCATGAGGGTTTCAAAATTCGACTCCAATCCAACATAAATGAATTATTATTATTATTATTTTAAAATCTAAATTATTTTAGATCATAAAATATTAATTTTTATTATTACTAGAATCCCTTAGTAACCATTGGGTGAGGGACGGTTTCCACATCAAATGGTTGGTTTTTTATTTAATGATTTAAGTTATAAAATTTGATGTAATTCAAATTATATAATATTTTGTTTTGTTATTGTTATAACAATTTTATTTATTTAAAATAAATATAAAAGAGGAAAAACCCTTAAAAATCACCTTAAATGTTTTTGGGAGGTTTTTTTAAAAATATATATTTTTTTGAAGAATTCATTCTAAACCCAAGATCTCCCAAAAATGAAAAATAATTTTAGGTATAACACCCATTTTTTAGTATTTTATTATATATAAAATGGCATTTTTCATCCCTAATTTTAAACACGTTTAATTAAACAGAATTATTTCAAAAACCAAATTTTTTATTTGTGTTACATTGCCGCCATTATTATATACATGAATGAATATATATATATATATATATATATATTAATTTTTAAGAGTAAAAGATAAAGCAAATTGTTACTTTTCTTATATATAATAAATAAATAAATAAAAATGGAGAGAGTTAAACTCGAAAAACCTCAAGGCCCAGGCGCCTGACATCCTTTTAACCAACAGCGTTCCAGCATGTAACAGTAAAACTTCAATCGAAAACCCTCAACTTTGAATCGAAATTAGAAAGAGAAATATAGGAACCCCAATCTTTCTCATTGATCTTCATTCGTTTGTAGTGCTGGATTCCTACACAATCCCCCATTTTTTCAACCAATGTCTTCTTCAATATTCAATAGCAACAGCGGTATCTCAATCTCAGTTTCAGACGATGATTCAGACGAACTCGGCCGCATGCGAGTCCGAGTCCGCAGGAAGCGGAAGAAACATGGACGAGTCAGGACCGAGTTGACTGGTAAGGTAATCAGGTGGCTCGTCAAGTACTGGACGATCCTGATCTTTGTTCCCGCTGCTGGATTGCTCGTATTTGAGGCCTCTCGAATCGGTAGGAAGCCGAGTTTGGTGGTCAATACGGAACTCAGTTCATTGAAGAGAAAGAATTCGTTAGAGAACTCGGGGGTCGAAAAAGTGAAGACAACAAGTGACAAGAGGAATTTGGGGGGCAATTTGAATCGACTAGATCCACCACGTATGTTTTTATTGAAATATTTACTCTGCCTGTTAAAAATCTTCTTGCAAAATTTAAGTTTTAGCTGAATAGACCTTGAAACTAGTTCATATTTGCTTTGTTAATTTGAAACGAGCTTGGATGATGTGATTTATGTTAATTAAGTCAAATTGGAGCTAAGTGTTCCATTTTCCTCCTATCATCACCATTCTTTGGCTTGTTTTTGTTTTTGGATCCATGGAAACTGGGGAGAGAAAGTAGTGAAGTACTGAAACCGTCGTGTTTGGGATGCTGATTATGGTGATATTTTGGTAAAGGCCAAATCTTGAACCATGGATACTAGTGTAGTGTCATTAACTTGGAACACGGCATGATGATAACTAATGTCATCTACCATGTCAATTATACATGTGGCCAGGATGTGGCATGCTTGTGTAGTTTAAACTTGTTTTTGAGTTAGTTAAGCTGTTGGCAGAAGGAAGAAAAAGTGTTTATTTTTGAGTTAGTTAAGCTGTTAGCAGCAATTTATTTTGTGTTTTGGGGTCTAATGTGTGTTTGTAAAATATGGCAGAAAAAAGAAAAACATTAATCTGCATTTGTTTGTACTGTCTTCTTCTCCCCCCCCCCCCCTCCCTTTTTTTTTTCTCTTCTAGTGTATGATGGATGTTAAAAATAGTTCACCTCACCTTATGGAACCTGATATTGGAATGTGTCAGGTTGCTTGAAGCTCCTACCTCTTGAGGAACTTGATCATCTGGATATTCCTATTGATGAAGACACTAGTTCCCCTCTTAAAAGGGTGGTGTACGTATCAAATAATGATACACCTTACAAAGGTGGGAGTTCTAGCCTCTCTTGGCTGCAGACAAATGGCACACGGTTTAATTTATTTACAGGAAACCAAACTTTTGATGAGAGAGAGAAAAGTTTTAAGGTTAGGAACAACATCATGCATTATTTATTAAGTTTATAATGTCTTGTCATTATTGTTGTGATGAAGTTTGATTTGCCGAATATTCAATTTTGAGCATTGTGGCAGTATGTGCTTTCTTTGCAATGAATGAATTCATTAATCCTGCACTTCTTAAGCCTTGTTTTTCTCATGTGCTAGCTATTGTTTACATCTGTGAAAGAAAATTCTTCTTACAGGTGGATGAAACTGCTGCTGTGCATTGTGGCTTTTACAGTGAAAATGGTGGTTTTAGAATTTCTGAGAAGGATAAAAGTTTTATGCAGACTTGCAAGGTTGTGGTTTCAACTTGTGCATTTGGTGGTGGAGATGCCCTTTATCAACCTATAGGGATGTCCAAAGCATCGCTTCAAAAGGTGAGCATGTAAGATGCAAAATTCTCCCATTTTGGCTTGGATTTACTATTCCTATTTTAAAATGAAATCCATGGATGCAGGTTTGTTATGTTGCATTTTGGGATGAAATTACTCTTGCTGCACAGGAACCAGAGGGTATTAAAACTAATGAGGATGGATTTGTTGGGAATTGGCGGGTAGTGGTTGTACGGGATCTTCCTTTTGCAGACCAAAGACTGAATGGAAAAATACCAAAGGTGCAGTAGTTATAGATAGGCCAGAAAAAGTTTAGATGCCATTTGCTTCCTACATGATTCCATGTTAATATCTTGCACAGTGCATGTTTCTCTACCCCTTCATGTTTTCTGCGGGAGGTTCAATCCCTGGATCCCAAAAAGTGCTACTGAGAGTTACTTAATAACTCTTCCTTTGATCTATTTCTTGCTTCTCTCCTTCATTTGTCACTAGGGCCATTTATTTGCATCTTGCATTGTCATGTTGATGAAGTTAAAATCACTATAGTTATATATTTCATGAACTATTGCAGAACTGATTAATGGAATATCAGACTACAGGATCTCATCTCAGTTGTCTTTTACTTGGTTGATTCTTTGGTGTTATTTCATTTGTGGTTTCTTGATTGTTTCTTACAAAGTTCTCACCTATTTAGCTTACATGCATCATGTTTCTTGGCATGTGTGTATTGGGCCTTTTTTTGAAGATTGTAATATGTTTGTGTTATCATCAGATGTTGCCCCATCGTCTATTTCCTCAAGCAAAGTATTCTATTTGGGTAGACTCAAAGTCCCAATTTAGGAGGGATCCTTTAGGCATTTTAGAAGCACTTCTTTGGCGTACAAAGTCTGTGCTTGCAATTTCAGAGCATGGAGCTCGTAGCAGTGTATATGATGAGGCCAAGGCTGTTGTGAAGAAAAACAAAGCCAAGCCAGAAGAAGTGCAGGTCCAATTGTCTCAATACCGCATTGATGGCCTTCCTGAAGACAAGAGATTTAAGGGAAAGAAAGGTATTCCTCTACCTTCCTCTCATGTTTCTTCAACGAGCATGTCAGATGAGATATAACTTTATTGTGATAACAGCATCTAGAAAGGATTTGCCATAATTTGTAAAATAACTTAATTTCTTCTTCTCCACTAGATTCCAGGTTTGGCAGTTACAGTTCAGTTTGCTTTTAGTTGTCTAAATCCCTCTGCTCCTGAATTTGGAGGTTTGGATCCATCTAGTGGTGGTATTAGAAAGTAGGGTTAACTCCATAATATGTATTGCCAAACTTAAAACCTATCTCTTTATTTGTTCACTATGATTAAGACAAGCCTAATCATATAATTAAAACCTTGATATATGCTAGATATACCTTGAATTTGAAGGAAGCTACCATACTATTTTGGCTGGTACTGACTGCTAATTTAGAGGAGACTGAATGTATATTTGAAACTAAACAAAAATTGGCCTGTGGGTTATGATCTTATAAACATTGACATTGCTGGGGGTTGGACCGACCTATTTTTTTTGCTTCACTAGGTTTTCATGTAATCTTTGTTCTTAATCATTAATTGTTCTTCACTCTGCAGCTCTATCAGAAGCCTCTGTCATTGTGAGAAAGCACACGCCATTGACTAATCTCTTTATGTGCCTCTGGTTTAATGAGGTTGTTCGCTTCACCTCACGGGATCAGCTTAGCTTCCCCTATGTTCTTTGGCGGTTGAAAGTGCTCAAGAACATTAATATGTTCCCTGTCTGTACCCGCAAAGATCTTGTTAATAGCATAGGTCACATACGCAAAGCTAAGCCTTTGATAATTTAGTTGGTCATTTTGGTACCATTTGCATCTCAGGTTGTCTTCCATTAGGGGCACTAAGGAGCAAGTAGGTTGTATTGCCTATTTTTTTATTCTTTTTAAATGATTTATCTACGGCAGCACTACTGTTTTTTTAACTAAAAACTCAATCTGGATGCACATTAGTTTTTTTTTTTTTTTTAAATAATTTTGAATGGCATGGTGTTCTTTGATAAGTTTTTGTACACTTTAAAATTAATATTTTTTTGGACAATTTGAAGACAGTACACTCCCTTTTAATTTTGTTTATTTAAAAAATTAAATTTTTAAATACAAATGTTAATATTTTAACTTTAAATTTTATAAATAATATTTGTTACTAATTGATTAAACTATTGCAATTTCAACAAAACAAAACATTCTATTGTGGTTTCAAAATCTTATCATCTATGTCTAGCTTTCCGTCGCCTGAGATCGTGTTGTAGTGGACTATTGTGATATTTTTCTAGCTTTCCTAATAAGTGGGGTATGGTTTAATTTGACTAATGCAGTGTAAATTTGACTACGTGCACACACTCAATGTAGCTAGTAGCGCTTCTTCTTGGAAAATTTAATGCACTATTTTACCAACAACAATTTTTATTTTTTATGAACTTTTCTAACAATAATTAATCTTAGTT